GGGGGGGGGGGGGGACAAGGGAGGGGGAAGGGGGGGACCTTCCAGCTTCAGGATGGGTCCTTTCTATTAGTACCCTTCAGGATGGCTCCTTTCTATTGATACCCTTCAGGATCCTGGCCTGTTTTTGTAGATACCCTTCAGGACCGCCGTACGAATGGTGAATCTGGTTTTTACCATGGCACATCAAATGTCTATCATGCTAAATCCGACTTTCACCACGGTAAATACAAATCTTACCATGGATTACTTACCATTCAATACGTTTACCGTGGTACATTAGATTTTTACCACGGTAAATCGGAATTGTACCATGGTCGATCAGATTTTCACTGACCCTTCTCACCCCAAAACCACATTTCGTCACCCCCCCCTCTTTTCTTTCGTTGGCAGCAAATTCACCAGGCTTTCACTTGGCAGCAAATGTGAAGAATGCTGCACTTCTTTTCTTTCGTTGATTTCACCCTCCTCTTTTCACACTCGGTGATTTCATTTTTGTTGCGCGAGGCCCTAATAAGCCTCCTCCCTGTGTCCACTTGGCGCTTCATGCTTGCGTTCCTTATCATAAATCTCTACCCTTCTCGTCTTCTCAACCGTTCGCATCAACTCTCTCTCTCTCTCTCTCTCTCTCTCTCTCTCTCTCTCTCTCTCTCTCTCTCTCTCTCTCTCTCTCTGTGTGTGTGTGCCTGTGTGTCTCTCTCTCCTGTACCGATCTCTACCCTTCCCTTCTTCCCAAGACATGGATGTCTCCGACCTTTTTTTTTTTTTTCTTTTGTAATATTTCTAACCTTCCCGTCTTTAAGAAGGGTTTTCAATTGTGAGGTCCCCGGCCTCCGTCTCAATTGATTTGGAATTAAAAAAAAAAAAAAAGGGTTTTCATCCTGCCAAGTGGCAACATTTTCATAGCTGAAGACAACGGAGGGCTTCAGTAGTATGGATTCCGTACGTCTGGGCCTAAGTCCTCCTCCGTGCAAGCACAGATTCGAACCGGCGACTTCGGCCTCAAGAGCCAAGTCTCTTAACCACTACAGCCAGGACACGGTGTTCAAAAGTGGAATCGTACGGGGCGTGATATCCACCCCACCCCTGCAAGGCTGTAGTGTCCAAAGGCTAAAAAAAAAGAAAAAAGCTTCTTCAGACAGAGATCCCTATACCGACCGAGACTTAACCTTCGCTATTTCGATATTTGCATTATCTTTAAAAATTAAAACAAATAAAAAAAACGATTTTTTTTATACAAGCCGGGAGTCGCGCCCGGCGTCCCTCACAATTCTCTCATTTTTCGCATTATCTTTATCAGTCTCTTTTTTTTCCCCACATTTTATGTCCTTATTCCCTCAAAAACGAGGGCAAAAAAAAAAAAAAAAAGAACACAAGGAGAATTTGTTTCACTTCAGGGAGCTTTCTCTTTTTCCACTTTTTCTTTACAACAGCTTTAGGGGACTTCTTTTATTTCGTCGACAGTTCGAATTTAATTTTGTCAAAAATTCCAAAAACAAATACCAGTGATTACTAGGTTTTCTTTTCTTCGAGAGAGTTCCTCGAAAGTTCCTCGAGAGTTCCTCGAGAGTTCTTCGAGAGTTCTTCGAATGTTATTTCCCCCACTTCTCCTTTTTGTCTTTTTCACCCCCCAAAAAATAATATAACAGCCCTTACCTTCCTTCCCTCCAAGCAGATTCCGACTCATTAGAACATGGTGACCAATTCCAACACGTTTCGAACTGAATCTGGTCGTACATTGCAGTCAGGTTCGCCCAGGAAAGTCTCCACGGTGCGCAGAGGCAAACTGCTTCCTCTCTGCCGGCTCATAATTTTCGCTTTCGTCGTCGAAAACTCCAAACACATGTACAACATCGCTTAGATTCACTCACTCTTTTATTTCTCGAAGAAATCTGTTTCTAAAAAAAAAAAAAAAAAAAAAAAAAAAGGACAGTGCTTAGGTACTTCTCCCGGTCTCCGTCGTGAATTCTCTCTCAGTCTCCGCGAATTCTCCGTGGTCAATTTCAAGACTCTAAACCCCTCTCAACCCCTCTAAACCCCTTTGAACCCGAGCCCAAAATTAAGCATACGCTTTTAACGTTCCACAAGAGAATGGGTAAGGGTTCAATTTTGAATATATTTTGGAATGCAGGTGTGTGTGTGGGGGGGGGGGGGGGGGGGGGGGGGTGGAGGAGGCGGAAGAAGAGGGAAGAGGAACAGATGAGGAAGGAAGAAAGGAACGTCTAGGATTGATTTTTTATTTTTCGTTATGCGATTTTGATTTCCTTTCTTTATTATTTCGTCGCCTTGTCAGTTTTTGTTTTTGCATTTGTAATTCTTTTATCGCTCCTTGTGTCCTGGGAAAAAAGCTAAGAAAAATTGCAATCGGTTTATAATTTATGAACCCTTTTTTTTTTTTAATGAACCCTTTTCGCTCGTGCAAAGCTCGAATTCACCGAAATTTGTAGGAAAAAAAAGTAAGGTGTGTCGACATATTCTGGAAACCCTAGAAATGTGCAATGAGTTCAAAAAAAAAAGGAAAAAAAAAAAAAAAAGAATTTCGTCTTGGCTGGTGGAAAATCTCGAAGTCACCAATTTGTGGAGGAAGAGGGGGGGGGGGGAAGTGTGGCTGTTACGGGAAGCCTAGATATGTGCGATGAATTGAGAGGGAAAAAATGGGCGATCAGTTTTGAAAAATGGGCAATCAGTTCAGAAAAAAAAAGTGCAATCAGTTCATAAACCTTTTCTTCGAGTGAAAAAAGCCCACTGGAGAGGAGCGAGGACAATACTGTTGCACTTCTCCGGTCCACAGACAGAAGAACGTATCTACACACATACTTTTGAAGATGACAAAGAACCCCCTCCCTCTCTCAATCCCGCCTTTCCCCCCTCTTGCTTTCTTAAACAAAAGGGGGGAAAAACAACACCTTACTCGTTCTATCGCAAAGAAATCTCTCTCTCTCTCTCTCTCTCTCTCTCTCTCTCTCTCTCTCTCTCTCTCTCTCTCACACACACACACACACACACACACACACACACACACATAGGCAACCGACCGATGAGTCAGATCATACGTACGAAAGGTTTCGATGGATAAGATCAAGTATGACAACAACAATCATCCTGATAACGATGACCTAACGATGATGACGATGATGAGGATGATGAGGATGACGAGGATGACGATGATGACGATGATGATGATGCTGAAGATGCGGATCCAAAATTTAATCCAGGAGCTTGGAAATGACTCCAGCGCCGACCGTTCTCCCTCCCTCTCTGAGAGCAAACCTCTGCCCTGCATCTACTGCCACAGGCTGTATCAACTCGAATACCGCGCGGATGTTATCCCCCGGCATAACCATCTCCACCCCTTCCGGCAGTTCCACTTTCCCTGTCACATCTGCCGTCCGCAGGTAAAACTGCGGTCGGTAATTAGAGAAGAATGCCGTGTGTCTCCCTCCTTCGTCCTTAGTCAACACGTAGATCTCCGCTTCAAATCGACGGCCAACCTTCACCGAACCCGGTTTACACACAACCTGTCCTCTCTGCACCTCCTCCCTCTTGATTCCTCTCATCAGCAGCCCCACATTATCGCCCGCCTGCCCACTGTCTAAGCTCTTCTTGAACATTTCCACGCCAATGACCGTAGTCTTCGCGGGAGTAGGTCTCAGCCCCACGATCTCCACCTCCTCTCCCGCCTTGATTACCCCTTGCTCGACGCGTCCCGTCACGACGGTACCCCGACCTTGGATGCTAAACACGTCTTCAATCGGCATGCAGAACGCCTTGTCCAGCACTCGCTGCGGCTCTGGTATGTAGTCATCGACGGCCTGCATCAGCTTGAGTATGGCCTCTTTACCTACCTTCTCATTAGTGCCGTTCAATGCGGAAAGAGCGGATCCTCTCACGATGGGAATATCATCGCCGGGGAAGTTGTAGAAAGTGAGCAGATCTCTCAGTTCCATCTCCACCAACTCCAGCAACTCCTCGTCGTCCACCATATCCACCTTGTTCAAGAAGCAGACGAGCGACGGGACCCCGACTTGGCGCGCTAGCAGGATGTGCTCCCTGGTCTGCGGCATCGGACCGTCGGGAGCTGAGACCACCAAGATCCCGCCGTCCATCTGCGCCGCGCCGGTAATCATGTTCTTGACGTAATCGGCGTGACCGGGACAATCCACGTGGGCATAATGACGCTTATCGGTTTCGTACTCCACGTGGGCAGTGGATATGGTGATACCTCTCTGCTTCTCCTCTGGCGCCTTATCGATCTGATCAAAGGCGACGGCTTGAGCTTTGCCTTCCTCCGACAAGACCTTGGTGATGGCGGCTGTAAGCGTCGTCTTCCCGTGGTCCACGTGTCCGATTGTCCCGATGTTGATGTGAGGCTTGGTCCGTTGAAAGGTGGCGAATCGACGACGAAGAGGGAGGCGGAGGAAGAGACAATCAGGAGAGGGAGAGGTGGAGGTGGAGGAGGAGCAGGAGGAGGGGGAGGAGGAGGAGGAGGAGGAGGAAGAAGAAGAAGAAGAAGAAGGATTGAACAGAGAAACCGGCCTTCCTCCCCATCGATAAAGAGGACCAAGACGGACATCGTTAATACAGCTGTTGTTGCTAGTAGAACTACACGTGGCGGCGCTTGTCTGCCCCCCCCTCAATGAAGAAGAGAGCGATGGCTGCGTCGAGATCTGAAGCAACGATGAGCATCTGGAAGCTTCTCTCCCGCCATTTTTGGCGGCGTGCCTCAGCGCTCGCGCCAAGAGCCCTCCAGCCCCGGCCATCTTTCCCGCCTTTTTCCTCTTCGCTTTTTTGCCTTCCTCTTCTCTTTCCCGCCTTTTTCTTTTTCCCGCCTTCCTCTTCTCTTTCCTAGCTTTCTTTTTTTTCTTTCCCCTGAGCTTGTCCTCCTTCTTCCCCCCGCCGCGATTGCCCTTCTTTCCGCGTTCGCCCTTCCTTTCTCCCGCCCTGGCCCTCTTGCTCTCCACCCTACCCTTCCCTCCCCCCCCCCCCCCCCCCCACCCCCTCCCCTCGTCCCTTTCCTCGCCCTACCTACTACTTCGCTAGTACTCACACACCACCCCTGTCCACGCGTCCTAATACCACCTACACATCCGGTCGTTCACCCTCACTCCATTGCCCCAACATGTCCACGCGTCCTAATACCACCTCCACATTCGTTGGTTCACCCTCACTCCATTGCCCCAATATGGCGGCTGATCAGTCGGATTTCAATAAATGCGGCTATCTTCTTCTTAATTACAATCAAACACGCAACCGTAGACCACGTTGCCAGTGTTTGCACCAGGTTCCCGCTATGACAGCTTTTTGCTCATGAAGGCGGCCTTCTGAGCCTTGGACCCTCGCCACAGTACTCGGGTCTGCAAAATACCGAACGCATCTTCCCGTGAACGGCATCAGGATACATGCTTCGTCTGCTCTTCATAGTGGTGGATGCATGTTGCTGGCCTTGTCGCTGAAGATGCACTGGCCATTAACGTGTACTGGTAGTGAGTTTGTAGTGCGGCGAGATCCCCCACCAGAGGTCGTGGGTTCAATTCCCTCACATCACGTACTTGCCTGGGCATGCAGGTGTCCTACCTTTCTAGACATAGCCCCCTGGCCCCTCAAGCCAGGATTAGCAGGACCTTGTTGGGCAATATTGTTGGGTGCTATGTTAGCCGTCAGACACCACTACTTTAGGCTTGGGGGGGGAGAAAGGGGAAGGTGCAGTGACTGCCCATAGTGCTCCACACTATCACTGCTGGTTTCCCCCACCAGCCATGCCTGCCCATCCGCACATCATCATGATGAGGGGCTGGTGCAGCCTTGCTCTTGCACCAACGCTATGGTGCCAACCCTACCCCATGAGTTGTGTAGGGATCCATGTTGGGTGGTGTTTCATTGTAATGTACATAGAATAGCCTGAGGAAGAGAGATAAAAAAAAATGCAGAAGTGAAGGCAAGTGTTTGAGAGAGGACTATAGCTTAGTTCGAAAAAAACGAAATTCCTCACCAGTGTCTGCGCCCTACTCTCTCATTACCGCGTTAGGGCAGGGCGCTGCATGCAATCCCTCGATTATGAGATAGCTATGCTTGAAGGAGTCCCCTATATAGTTGCTGGAGTCCCACTTCGCTGCATTTGAAAGGTGAAAATGACAGGATTTGAGAGGATTCAAGAGAAGAGTATGGCGTATTTTGCATTAGTGACACCTTAGATAAAGGCCCCGACATGGTAGAGTACCTCTTAGTTGGATTCTTCGATGTATTTTGCTTCGATAACACCTTTCATGATGAACCCGGCAGTATCAAGTCCCACTTCGTTGGATTCTCCATTTCATTTCTGACCATTGGTCTCAGTAATCTACGGTAACAAACCAATAATTCATATAATTGGGACTTGGTTCTCAAGGTGTGGTCCCACAAACTCGGATTCTTTGTTTTATTTCAAACCTTTAGGTCCAGAACTTATAGGTCAATAATTAACAATAGGTGCAAGTGGTATCTAACCCTTACGACAATCTTATACATGGACCAATCCCTACAAGCATTGACTGTGTTGTTATCAAAATATTTCTCCAACTAGTTTCTGAGAAAAAAAAAAGTATTGGATATGTTTCGTGTGTATTTTGTCGATCACCCTCATTTATATCGATAGTTGCGTGAAGTATTCAAACATTAATTCATGTGAGCTTAAATAATTGAAGCTACATTCTACAGTTCGCGATCGTACAACTCGGACTTCTCATACTGGCCTCAAGTCAAATTGAAAACATGTTACCTCGTATATCATTAAGAATTCAACTCAAGCTTGTGTAAATTGATAGTTTAAGGATCCCAAACAACTCGGTTATTTTTTAGGGAACGTTCATGGGCGTAGTTTTGTTTTCCTCCTAGTTTTATATATTTCTCAATTATTTTGTTCTTACATAACTGGTAACGTATCATGTATTGCGAGGCTTGGCTTCCTGAAATATTTTTCCCCCAATTTTTTGTCCACACTAATTGAAAAAAAAACTCAGTTTTTGACAAAAAATTGTATTAGGAAAAAAACGTTTGGACAAACCAGTTATTTAATTGGTCAAAATGCAAACGCATACGTTTCACCACTTGATTTACACCCCTAGCAAAAATAGAAAGATAAAAATTGAAGTCATGATATCAATAAAATTTTAAGTTCTTCATAAATAAGAATATTGTTTTTATATCAATAATAATGATTTTATTTGGTAATATAGATAAGATCGGTATATGACATATCATAATTGATGGACATGCCGCTTCAAACTTTGTTAGTTTATGATATGATGCCTAAAAAAAAAGTGAGAAATAAATCACGAAAGACCCACCTCTACGCATCGTAATGCATTGGGTAAATATTTAGTTGTTAAGAAATAAGTAACGCAATGCAAGGGAAAAAATAACGTCGAAAAAACATTTTTCATACATCGATTTCCTATCGGAAAACTGAAATGAATTTGACTTAATAAGTTGGATAAAACTATGAAGTAGGCGTATAACTATTAACTTTTTATTTTGTGTTTTAATTTTTAAACTGTTTTTTTATACCACTACCCCCACCGACCTAAAATCGACTTTCTTGGCCTTACGGACTGGGTTCTTAGGGAGATTGGCGAGTGGCAGGCGCATGCAGGTCCGATCCAATAATTTTCAAATGCAAACTTTGATAATTTTTTGCGCTCAAAAAAATTGAAAAATTGAGATCATGTAGATTAGGTAGTGATATTTTTAAAAAAATAAAAAATATATATTAAGATCGTGAAGTAAATGTCGAGCCATCTCGTCACATTTTTCATTTTTGCTACTCTAGTACCACGTATGGGCTAACGAAAAAAGTAACCCAACTTTCATGATTTTTTGCGATTGGAAAAATGACTCAACAACTCTGAAAATTCGAAGGTCCAAAGACTTTATCGTGATCTTTACAGGAAAAATACTAAAAAATAAATAAATAAAATTGAACCACAAAATAAATTATAGGGGTAATTCGACGTATTTTTCAATTTTGCCACTCCGTTGTACTCTGACAAGGGTATTTCCCGGGGATTTTCAAGGTCGAACGCTGTCCGACTCTTTCGTTGAATTGAAGGTCTTCATGAGATTGACGTTGCCAAAAGTTTATTCAGACTTGACCTATGACTGAGAGATTAAAAGTTTTTGAGTTTTAGGTTGGATGCTTGTGGCGTCCGAGAGTAACGATAGTAACTAGTAGTGCTCCGCTTTTGTCGAGGCCGCAGAGACACGCGGACGTGGAAACGCTAAAGTTAGATCTATTCTACCTAAAATAATGACGTGCGGCTGCTAAACCGCGCGATTCAGGGCCTAAGTAGGCTAAAAAGAGGGATGCGCCGGGTATGGGGCCGCAACACGAGAGGAATAGGAAGATTCAGGGCCGTGGGCATTGACTTCGAGACAAGGGGCCGAAAGGCCGAGGCTGAGGCCTACCCCCGTGAGTGATTTCCGAGTCGTGGATGGGCAGTTATCCACAGGGGAAGCGTTGGGCAAGGCAGGCTGGGCCTGTTGAGTGTGGGTTGGGCCTACTAGGGGATGCACCTTTATATATAGAAGACGTGCAAGTCTAGCTCCCGTGATAGGAGTTAGCCCAATAAGTTACAGTCCTCGACTTCTACCCGACAGACGCTGGGATCGAATCTGAGAGATTGCGCTACTGGGCTAGCTCCTTTTGGAGCTAGCCACCTAGGATGCTGTCGTCGTGGTCGATTTCAACTGTCGATCGTGAAGATCGCGCGACCGAGATCAGTCATACAGATTGGCATGGCCCCTGCGCAAGGATGACACGCATAATCGATAAATGGTCCAGAGTTTTTACGATCCCGACAGGGATCGAACTCGGGTCTGTATTTCAACAGGTTATGGGGGTACCACAAACGTGAAGGTGTCCGTTGGCATAAGCCAACGACTTTTGGAGGGGAAAAAAAAAAAAAAAACTAAGACTGAAGGTGGAGGGACAAAGCACCAGTTGGCTCGTCAGCAATTGATGGAGACTTACAGTCCCTACGAACAGTACAAGCGTTCGTCACGATGAAAACGGGCGACCGTTTTCTTTGGAGGTAACAACAAAAAAATTCCCATAAGAAATGAAAGTTGAAAAAACATTCCATAAAAAAAAAATCCTTCATATTTATAAATTATCAATCCAATGTGTGTCAAATTCACAAATTTTCAATTTAATTTGATAAGTTCCCGTCTAAATATGAACTTTCTCTTCCAACTACATCTATTTGTTCAAAATGGAATGAAAGTTTGGACGAATTTATGAAATGTTTTAATTAGACTTTCATTCCACTGCAACAAATATCGTCGACTTTAGATTGGATTAAGTCGCCTTTCTTGGAGGCTTGCTCGTTGATGGTTGTGACTGGATGCAGAGAGAGAGAGAGAGAGAGAGAGAGAGAGAGAGAGAGAGAGAGAGGAATTAAACTGCAACAGCGCCCGAACCTGGCACTGTCAGTGGCCGGGTGCGGGCATATGCTGGAGCAGGGGTTGAAGGCCCTAGTGAGTTTGACTCTAGTTCGGCTCTGTGAAGTGACTTAGGGGCTGTTTGAGCTGCCCCTCACAGGGGAAAACGAGGGGGTAAGAAGAAGAAGAAAAGGAGAAAAGAAAAGAAGAAAAGAACAGAGTAAGGAAGGAAAAAAATAATAACGGCCACGTACGTGGCCGCGGCCGTGGGACAAGTGCAGCCCCAAAAGTTATAGGGGCTGATGGGATTGCGCCTGTTCGTTTTTGAGCAGGCAACAATAAGTGGTTGAGTTCAACCATTTCAAGGAGCACCTGGCCTGGGAAAACGACCAGGTACTCCTGGGGGTTGATGACCTTGGTCCCCTAGGGAAGAACCAAGGCACCAGGCTCCTGGCCATTGATTTAGATCAAGGGTCAGGAGCGTCGACGAATTTTGCCTAGCTGTGGGCAAAGCAGTTGCCCACATGCCTACGGCTGGTTATAAAAGTCAGCACTCCACCCAGTAGCCTCACACTTGTGGCAGTACTAGTGGGACATTCACTTGAGTGAATGTTGGACTGGCTGCTGATGTGGGGCGGTGTTGCCAGAGAGAAGGGAGAGGAACTTGAAGTGTTGTTGGAGAGGAGAGTGGAGGTCTGCAGGGGCATTAGAGGAGGGCAACCATCGCCGAGGCTGGGAGCTCACTGCCCCACCTTTGCATGGGTGTTGCGGCCGACGGGCTGCGTTAGGGTCTGGACGGTGCAAGTGGCATTTTTTTTAGTGAGGTTGTGTTGTCGAACTGCCGCCGTGGCATCGAGACCTTCCTAAGGGAAGGTGCTGTAGGATTTGCCTCGCGGCGCTGACGTTTTTTTTTAACGTGAGTGTGGG